TTTGAAATTTATTCAAATTTGAAACAAACTGCGACATGTTGTAATTCTCTTAGCGCGATTGTGGGCCATGTTCCTCCGCGTTGTGTTGTCCTTGTCAGTTGTGCTTATCATTTAAGATTTGTGGTGCGTTGTGTTTGGCTGTTTGCCTGCCAATTTAGTATGACTTGAAGATTTATCGCAGCGAAGCGCGGAATCCGAAATGCGACAGCTGTGGTCCCTCCTTTCTGAATTCTGATTCCTGGCAACTGATTCCTGGCAAATTGGTCATTAAGTGACACGCAGACGGGCTGCCCTGCCCTGTCCTTTCGTCCTGCATCCTGCATCCTGCATCCTGCATCCTGGCAGCCGGGGACATTTTAATTTTGTCTGTCAGCGGCAGACGACGGCCAACGGAAACCGCAAAATGCAGGAGCAGTGAAACTGCAGCGCTGGCAGACAAATCTGATTTGCCGAATAGCGACACCTGACCATCGACCCTGTGACCCCCAAAACCCCCTCCTTTGTGCAGTCCCTGTGACAGGACATGTTGTTGATTTCTAATTTCACGCTGCGTTGTGTGAAAATCAACACCGTCACATCCAGAAGGGTCAAATGGGCGCAGCCCGCAGAAAAACGCAGCTAATGAAGCCTATGGAATGAAGGGGCGGAGGACAGGACACCTGGTCACCGCCAGCCACTTGACCCCCCACAACCACTTAACCCCCAAAAACACACAGTAACCATCGAACCCAATCCGCAGTCCGCCATCCGCAATCCGCATCCACTTCCGCGTCTGGCCGCAATCAATCCGATACCATCTGTCCTCGACAATCCTGCCGCAAACTACCGTTATGTGGCCAAACTTAGAGGGGGCGTGGCAGGCAGCGAAATTGCGAAATTAGCGCCCATTTTCGCCACAACTTCTTGGCCAAAAGGAGCCGAAACAAAAGGCAAATAAAGGAAAGCAAATACAAAGCAGCAAATGACAAACAAAAAGGGGAAATATAGTGGAGAATGGAGCATCCTCGCGGTGAGGCAAAAACGAATCTTGAGTGGGAACATTATATTATAGATGCGATTAGGGTTTCTTTCGCAATTTTGGAAAACCGAAATTTTGTATGGAAACATTTTTAAATCTTTATCATTGCCAAAGTAATCAAGATTTATTTGCCTTTCCTTTAAGATTTTCAAAATGATATAGCGGTATGTTAGAAAACTGAGAACTAATTAAAAATTCAAGTTTTTGGTTAATTCGTTTAAATTGCTATAATGTATTATGGGATGGTATATTTTTTAATATTAATAATTTAAAAACTACTAAAACCGTTAACGGACATTTTAAGGGGTTATATACCTTTTTTGAGCGAAAAAATTGGGGAAACTTTGGATTTTTTTTCAGGTGTGTAGCAATTATTTTATGACACTGAAGTTATTATTTATTGATAGTACATGTTTTTATCGAAACAACAAGCGTTTGTTCTTGAAAAAATATTAATAATTTACGAAGTTATGGCAATTCTTTCGGAACCCTTTTTTTTATGGCGGCTCCGGTGACCACGATGGAAGTCCAGCAGGTCAACTGATATCAAAAAACCAAACAATTTTTATTAGTATAGTATTATTTCCAGTTCGTGAACGATTATTTTCAAGAATATTTGGTTTTTTCTGCATACAGTCACAATTTTTCCAAAAACTGGATCTTTCGAGTTCTAAAAATTTTCCTATCGAACTATTATTCGGATCTCTATGAAAATTTAGGAAGATGTTCACTAGGGGATATGCTTTAGGATTCAGCAAAAAAAAATTTTCGTTTTTTTTTTTTAAAGGTATATAACCCCTTAATAACATTCTATGAACATTTTATTGCAATGATTTTAAAAATAAGACCTTAAACATTGATTTGCCTTAAATTTAGCTAACAATTGCACATTGGCACAACCTGCATAGGTAGCTGAAAATAACAGATCGGGATCCTCAACTTAGGGACTATTATTTATATTCCTTATGCAATAATCAGTACCTTGGCTAAAACAATAAGACCCCGTGAAAAGGGCATAAAAACAAACAATGGGCGATGGAAGACGAGGGCGACCAAGTTGGTAAATCACCGAAATCCGCATCTTTAGCATCTTAACGGCCAATTTAGCACCAGGGGTGGCGGGGAGAAGGGGGGTGAAAGAAGGCGAGGCGACAACAAAAAAGGGGCGGGGGGAGTTTGGGGGGGTGGCCAAGAGGTGAGGAAGCCAGAAAAAGACAACGGCGAAATTAGACAAAAGCAGCAAAGGCAATAATAAAAGATAATAAAACAAACGTAAAGTCTGTGCAAATGGCAAGGACTCCTCAACGGGGGGGAGGTCCTTGCTTGGGCGGGGGTGGGGGTTGGTTATCAAGGAGGCCTTGAAACTTCTCGGAGCTGCGGAGCTGCCGAGCTGGTCGAGCTAAATAAAAACACTTTTGGGAACAATAGACGTCGCAAGAGATATGACACCCCCGTGCCCCCAATGCTCAACCCCCAACCCCCACAAACTTTTGCTGTGAGCGCAAACTTTTGCTCCTTCTGGGCGTTTGTCATTCTTTCGCCATTTAGTCAGCCCCTCGAGCTGTGGGTCTCCGCCTCCTCGGCACTCCAACCGCTTCATTATCTGCCCATCCCCATCCCAATCCACTTGAGCTATCTTTCTGTTTAATTTCGCGTGCCGCAACGTGCAATTACACAAAGGATACAGAAGGATACAGCAGGCTGGAAGGGTAGAGGGTATGAGGCAGATAATGGCGGATAAAGGACGATACAGGTAGGCTACAGGTGTGACTGTCGGGGAAAAGTGGCTCACCATGTTTCGGATCCTGAGTGGGAAGAGTTGAAGAAGAGGTGAAGCCCTTTGTTTAACCAGCTTCTTTGGGAAAACGGGTTGGTTGGAGGGTCAGTCTATGATGCATCAGCCTTTTTAACATCCGAATTTTAGTACCACTGGCGCCATCTGTGGGTCGATTCCGAACAGGATTCGTTTAGCCGAGACACAAGCCAGGAGTTCCTTTTGAGATTACAAAGTGAGGCAAACGTAAAAACGTTTTTAAAATAAAAATAAAAAGTTTTAAAAATCCAAACTCAAATAAAATTTGTATGAAGCGTTTTACTTTTTAAAATGTATCATCCCTGATTTTGCACCTAAAACTTTTCATAATTTTTCTCTCGTTTAACCACCTTCTTTTGGGAAATGAGAGGGTTGTTTATAACCAGCTGGATTTCAGTACCGCTGGCGCCATCTATAAGTGGATTCTTAACAGGATTCGCTTACTCAAGACACGAACCAGGAGCAAGCAAAAGCCACAATGCTTTGAAGTTCCTTTTGGGATTTAAACATCCAATTCCAGCTCCCTTATCAGCTTTTGTTGTCCATATATCTATATCTAAATTCAGATCTTTGCTGGATTTTCCCTGCACTTCCATTTGGAAAAAAAATACCCATTTCCTGTCGGCTTTCCGCTGGTTTTCCCGCTTGGCTGTTTGTTTTTCCCATAAACCCGCCTGCGATCGTTTTGCAATTTTCATTTCGCATTTCCGCTGCCGCTCGTTTGTCGGCCAAACGGAAGCGGTCCATAAATCGCCCAATCACATCGGCACTATGGCCAAATCGAAATCAAAATCCAAGTCCAAATGCGACGGCAAAAGCGTATCAAATGCCATGCTGACCGCATTTGGACAGGTTTGCCATTGCCAAGTGCCCAATGGCCAATGGCCAAGTGCCAAGTGCCGAGTTTCCAAAAGCCAGAGACGTGCGCATTCCAAAGCTCGGAGCTCCTATTCTCCAACGATCCCCCGATCCACCGATCCCCATTCCCGATTCTCCATTCAAGTGCCGCACTCGTGGCGCTATTTTTGATTCATTGAGCAATTGGCAATCACGTTCCCCAAAAAAAAAACGAAAAAAAATATTTGTAAGCAGCCATGGGCTATTAATTTCCAAGCACCATAAACCCCAGTATCTCCATCTCATCCCCTCCCCCTTTTTTTGGCTAATGCCCACTTCCTTCCGCTTTCGCTTTTTACAACTTATCCGGTTCTCAAGTGCATCCCGATCTCCATCTCCATTTACATCTCGATCTTGAGCAGCTGCGACAATGCAGCCCCGGTTGCATGTTAAAAATATCCCAAATGAGTTTGGCATGTGCCACTGAGGCAGCTGGGAAAACGAGGAAAACGGGGAAAACTGGGAAGCTGGGGGAAAAACTGAAACTGAAGGAGGCGCCTGGCGGAGTTTGCGGGTGAAAGCGGACACTTAGCGACGATCTGTTGTAAGATGGTATGGTAATGGATGGTATAGCTGGCTGCCTTTAGACTCTGAACTCAACCCCCTTCTTAATTTTATAATTTATGCCACGTCGCGGCTAATTAATTTCTGCTGGCCAGGCCATCAGAAGCCCATGGCTGGGCAATCTCTCCCATCAGAAACTCTAGTGTTCCGTGCGCGGAATGGTCAATAATGAAAATGGGAATGGGGGATTGAGACTTTTCATTGGAAATTTTTTGCGCGTTTCGCAGTCGGACCGTCGCCAGCTACAAATACGAATTTCATTTACAATTATTATAGGCAATAACATGTTTGTATGGCCGGCCATCGTTTGAGATTGTGTAACTGCACAGCGAGCAACATTAATAAATGCACAGGCATTCGACATTGTAGTTGTTGTCGTCGCTGACCATTTTCAATGTTAACTTGGAGACAATTCTGTATAAATGCAAATGCCAAATGCTAAATGCACCCAGCCTATTTCCATTTTCATTTTCATTTCCACTGAAAGACGTTTCCTGGCATTCAGCGTTCCCATTTCTATGGCATCCATCTATAGATATAAACATGTGTTCCAAATGCACATTGTATATAAAGAAAGGCGACAGTTCCAATATGGTAGACACTCTGGGGCCACGAAAGCACTGGGTGGTTCGGAAGATCAGATCTAGAACACAGATCTTGCAAAGTGCGCTACTCCCAACCAAACAAAAAACAGAACATAGCACGCAATCTCGTATAATCATAGAACTTTTTATTGCTTTTGCACACTGATAGCACTTAGGACATAGACATCTCTCCCTATCGATATATAGTTATCCGTTAATTAGCATTATTCATTATTATAAGTAGTTATATTTGTATCTTTACCATTACTGTTACAGTTAATTCGATTAAGCTCGGTAGCAGCTAGCCGGAAAATGCTCTCGTTTGATATATTTTAACTTGGTTATGATGGTGGGGATTTGGGATTTAGGATTTTAACAATACGCGCGTCTATATGCGGTCTATATAGTAGCTGATATGTTGCCATTATTGCTTGGTTTCGTTCCGTTCCGTTTGGAGCCGTTTGAATCCGTTCGGTTTCGTTGTTCGATCGCCTTAATATTTACATTAAGTAGAAATTTGTTAATCATAATCGCTTTAATCATATACGTGGGTGTGGGTGTGGGTGCCTCATCTCTATGTACAAAACATTCAGCCGCATCGCTCGGGATTCCCCACAACGGGAAGCCGGCGCATCCTCATCTGTCCGCGCATTACAAACAAGTCAACATAACGATTCAATTAAATATTAGGACAAAAAAAAACCGTAATAATTAGAATAAGATTAATAATATAAAAAATAATAATAGTTTCGGTTCCCATCCGTTCCTCCTTTAAGCGGCTGTTTGTACAAAGTTCATCTCCATCTTGATTCTTGTTCCGGTTTCGGTTCCGGTTCCGTTTTTGCTTCGCCACTCCTTAAGTAGTGTCCCCCTTTGGCTCAGCCCTTGGGGCCGGCAAACCCCCGCACGCCCATGACGCCCAGTCCCGCGTTGCTCTCCTCGATGTAGACATTGCCCGGCTGGAGGGTCTTCAGGATCCGTCGTTCCTGGTGCTTCACGCGTTTCTCTGGAAGAGGCAGAAGAACAGGGAAAAGACGATGAGATGATATGATATCATATGATATGATATGAGATGGGAGGCCCACAGGCGTAGCTGTCGAAAACAAGTGACAGCCTTCATTTAAATTCCACCCGCATTCCCGATATTATTTTCATTTGCATTTGCATTGCGAGTTTTTGGTTTTTTCGATACGGTCTGGGTCACCTTAACGCCAATCTGCATTTAAATGGTTTCAGGTCACTAAACTCTAGCCTACGAACTTGAATGTGTATAGTCCGATCCATGGAATGTTTATTTTCCTTGAATCCCGTTATATTTACTTGTTTACCCTTCTTAGGTTTCTTTTTACTTTTTGCTAGCCCTAACATTAATCTTAAAACTCTTCCAAGAAATTTTAGATTTTATGGAGTTTTTTAATGTGTTCTAAAAAAGGAAACGTAAATATTACTAAATAACAGTTATTTGAGGCTTAAATCTAAAAAATAGGTAGGTACCATTACTCTGATTTGTACACAAAAAAAAAATTGCTTGGTAAAATTGACCAACAAAGATAGTTACGTAACTATTAAAATAGTTACGTGTATTTTGTTTTTGCTTTGTGTTTGTGTCTTTGCTAATTGTGTGTATTTTGTTGTTGTGAAATGACTATTTACTTAGTAGAATTGACAATTTTGCTGGTTGGGGCCTGTTTGACAATTATTACAGTTGATTTTACTAAATTTTTTTTGTGTGTAGTTTTAAAGCTTTAAAACAAGTTGTTTTACTGCAATTTGGAAAAAACAGGTAAAGCTATATAGCTACATATATAAAGTGAATAAGAAACATAAATTGTTAGTGCTAGTAATTAACTTAATTTTGTAAATAATAACAAATTAAATTCTTTTATTTTCTCTCAAATATCTCAAATATATTTTATTTATGGTCCCTGGTTTTTAAATTGATTTGCTTTTCCCAACTACTTGAAGTGAAATTGCTTACTGTGACATTTTAGCATTACAAATGGTTGTAAAAGTCCTGTGAGGGTCATGCAAATGTTTCTCCAAGGAACCTAACCTTCTCCCCCGGGATTCCCGCTGAGGGTTCGCCTCCTGCGGGGTCCGTTCAAGTGGCATCTAGGGATGTAGGGATCCTGGATCTTCTGGGACACTTACCGGGGAGCAGCACGTGTTGCGGCTGGAAGATTCCCGACTGTGCCGCTGCTGCATGCGTCGCCGCTGCGGAGGCGGGCAGTCCTCGCAGGGCGTCCGCGTTGCCAATGAAGAAGGTGCCTCCGTCCAGGCTCTGCACCTCCGCCAGCTTGGCCATCAGTTTGGTGGACAGCTCCTCCACATCTGCAAAAAATACAAGGGAAATTGGTATTCAATTTGTAATGTTTATTAGGTGGCAGGCACAGGAAACCCAATGGCCAGTTTACCCGACTCCGCGTTGCGAATTGTAAACAACGAACGAGGCCAGCGGCAGATAATTTATCATTTATTTATAAACTGCCTTCGGAAGGCGAGAAAATTAAGTTCCATTGCCCAAGATTCAAGATCCAAGATTCTATATTCAAGACTTTTAAGATATTCTGTTTAAGAGAGACGCGTTGCGTTTCCACCGCCCGTGGATGATGTGCGTCTTCTTTCCTTTGGTCCATCGTTCAACGCCTTTTATTATAAACAATCGGCCAGCGGCAGCGCGAACAATAAAATCTCTTGGAAAATGGAAAGGAAAACAACCGAAAAGCCGAGGGAAAAGCGTAGCGAGGCCAAAACAATTTTCAAATTTGCGCAGTTCAATTGGATTCGAATTTTCCATTTTCCCATTTTCATTTTGTGGCCACACACACACACGCACATGCGAGGCTACCAAATGAGGTGTATGCCTGTTTTTCCACGGAAAAGATTAGTGAACATAAACGTGGGCAGCTGGGAAACGGGAAAAAGGGAAAATCAAAGTCCAGGAAGCAAATTGGAGAACTCTCGACACAGCAGGCAGGCATAATAAACAAGGCGAAAGTTTTTATGAATTGCAAAACTCGCAAAGTGGGACAAAAAATCAATGAATGGAGCAGTTTCTTTCCCTTCTGGAGCCACAAAATCTGTCGATCTATTTATGGAGCAAAAAAAAGTAGAGGAAATGCGAGCGAAAATCCCAGAGGCAAACAGCATTTCCAGCGCACCACATATATTTTTTCTCGCGGATGCGGATTCCTTCTGGAGGCCACAAAAGCGCGTGCCTCCCCAGAAAAGGAGGATGTGCCGATGGGGTTGGGGCTCCCAATTGTCAATGATGCGCTTGAACGGAAAGTGTTGCCGTTGCAGTTGCAGTTGCACCTTCCCCAGTTTTTCTTCTCAGCAGCTGGTCGCCGTTCAATCATTTGGGAAAGGAAAGATATATTTATAGATCCCGCGAGAGGCGGAAGCGACTGGAATGGGTAGAAGCAGGCACCATTAGCGGGGAAACTCCGCAACTCAAGTGCATACCTCCCATACCTCCGCATGTCACACTATTTGAAATCTGTCGATGATCACCGAATTCTCTGGGCATTTTCTTTGCGTTCTCGCTTCCTGTGTCTTGGAAAACATGTTTTTCCCCGCCCCTCTGCTTGTGTGACATGATTTCGGAATTTCGGAATTTCCCCACAAACATCCGCTTGTCCTTGAGCGGAAGAAGGAATAAAAGGGGGACTTTAAGGTGAGATTTTTACCTGCCCTTCGTGGAGTTTCATTTCCGGCTGCAAGTGCTGAAGAGTTCCCAAATCTCAGGCATGATTTTCCCCGACTTTTCTTTTCCTTTCCTTTCCCCAGCTGCAGATCCATAAATTTTCCACACTGGACACGCTGCGTGGGACGTGGTGTGTCGACACGCCCTGAATTATGATTACATGGGGAATGGGGAGATCAACAACAAGAAGCGCTATCAAAACACTGCATAAATCTCATCTCTGACTTGGAACACAACATGTGGCCCACGTCTGTGCGGCACAGAGATCCCTTTTTTGGTAGCTCCATTTGATAGGAGGTCTTTCTACTGCCAAGGGCAACTGTACCACTCGAAAGCAAACCTCCTAAGATTTTTATACCCGTTACTCGTAGAGTAAAAGGGTATATTGTATTCGTGCAAAGGTATGTAACAGCTAGAAGAAAGCATTTCCGACCCATTAAGTATATATATTCTTGATCAGGGTCACTAGCCGAGTCGATCTAGCTATGTCCGTCTGTCGGTCTGTCCGTATGAACGCTGTGATCTCGGAAACTACAAAAGCTAGAAAGTTGGGATTGCCCACACATATTCCTTAGCTTCCTACGCAGTGCAAGTTTGTTTCAGCCGAACGCCACGGCCCCTCTAACGCCCACAATCGCCCTAAAGGATTTTAAAAGGTGTATGGCGCCCACACCTTTAAAGATTTCGGGAAAGTAAAAATGCAGTTTTATTGTGTTTATCAAAACCTATCGACATGTAGAAGAAATTTTTCAAATCGGACCATTCGTTAAAAAGTTTTGCGCGATCAAAGTTATATATCTCCATCATCCATCTTAAGCTGAGTGACGGGTATCTGATAGTCGGGGCACCCGACTATAGCGTTCTCTCTTGTTTTGCTTTGCTAATTGCTAATGCAAATCGCGAGTCGCATGCGCCAAAAATATTTTGGACATACGTTCCCTGGACTCCTTGGCTCTTTAATATGCCTTGAATTCAGCTGATCGTGCAGCTATTCTCTGGAAATCTCTGCACAGGCGATGCCGCCGTCGGAATGGCGGGCCTCCATACATCAAAGTGTCGTGTTCTGGGCCCCCGTCGTTTTTCGAAACTTATAAATATGTAAGAGCTCTCCCTGTTGACGGTCAATCAAAGCGTTAGGTTCGTTGGGAATGCCAAGCAGGCAGGGATTTCTGGGCCCTGCGATCTGAAACCCTTGGAAGCCCAAACGATGCGCTCTGAATTTACAATCAGCTTTGGGCAGGTGAAAAGTGCCCGGGAGCGTGTGAAACTCGAGGAGGCTAACTGGGCTAGGTAACTAGGGCTAGGCAACTACAGCTAGACTACTCAGCACTACTCACCCTGATCCAGGCGACGCTCCATGCGGCGCCACTGGCGCATGTGATGGATGAGGATGCAGGCTGCCACCGAGAAGAAGATGAGGCAGGTGAGCACGGCCACATAGAGGACGCCGGTCTGCCAGTCGAGGACCCAGGAGGCGGCCGCCTCCTCGTGCAGCTGCTGCAGTTGCTCGTGGGTCAGATGCTCAAAGTGCTCGTACTCCGAAGACTTTCGGCGCTGGCGGAGGGGGATATAAGTCACTCTAAATCATTGTGAATCCCTGGCAGCTAACTCACCTCCTTCCAATTCGGCTCCGTCTTGGCCAGGACGACCCAATCGATCTTGAGATCGTAGATGGAGCCGCAGATGGTGTCCGTGTGCAGCTGGCAGGGACGCAGTGGTATCATCTCGCCCTGGCAGCGGGTGCACGGAGTGCATCTATCCCGCTGCGAGTCCCACCAATGCTGCGGTTCGCAGGGCGAGGAGCTGGAGGAGACGGCCAACTGGCTGGCCCACGGAGGATCCCCAGGCGCAAGCTCTGTGTTTGAGGCGGAGGCGGAGGCGGAGGTGGCCACCAGGCTGCAGGTGGTGGAGAGCAAGAGCAGGGCCAGGTAGCTGCCGGGACTGATGATTCTCCGCCGGCGCTTGTGAAACGTTGTGTTTGCCGTCGTTTCCGTTCTGCTTCTAATCCTGTTCCTGCATCCTGATTCCTGCTCCCTTCCTTCCGGCAGTCTTGGCGACATCATCTGAAGAAATACAACAGATATATACATTTAATGGAGACAGCTAACTATTGTTACATGAATTCTACACTATTAGGTGTCAAATTTGCATCAATAAGATGAGTATTAAATGAATACCTTCAAAAGTATTAAATTGAAACTTTCGGTTAAGAAATGAAACTACAAAATATTCGGTTTATAATATTTCATATGAAATTAATACTACTGAGTATAGAATTTGTATTATTTAGTATTGGGTCAATAACACTTTTGTATACTACATCAAGTATATTTTAAATACAACGCTTAGAGAGTTAAAACAGCTTTCCCATGGGAAAACTCCGCTTATTGATATAGCTGCTGGAGACCTGAAGCCATCTCCTATATCTTCTATAGAAATAAAAATAAAAATAATTCGCGCAACGGCAAACTAATAAACTAATACAGTCGCTGATAATGCGACGCCATCATCGTGATTATCATCATGATTATGATTATGATTATGATGATCATGATCATCGGGCTGTTGTTGATGAGCTGTGTTGTGCTGCTGATCATAAATGCGTACAGTTTGCAATCAACTTTAATGATGGCGGGTGCTGGGACCACTGGCCACCGACTCCCCACTTGCAGCTATCAACGGCAGCGGCTTGGGTTCAATGCTCATCCCCCAACCCCCAACCCCCAATCCTCCCCGGATCCGATTCGATTCCTTTGGCGCATTAACGACAAACTATTATAGACAGCGATTATTATTTATGCGGCGAACGCGACGGCCAAGCCAAGTGGAAAACAAGAAGGGAAAACAGAAAGGGTAATGGGAAAGGGAATACCCACTGGCCACTTCCGTTCCACTGAAGGGAAAGAAGTAGTAGTGTCCCTAACCGATCCCGAAAAACGAGAAGCCGCTTCGGGGTTTTTCCCTGGAAAATCTGTTTCTGATTCTGATTCTGACTCTGCCACAATCACAACCCATTCACCAACTCTGGATTGGATGGTATGGTATGGTATGGGTTTATGATGGGCTGGGGTCGTGCACTTGTCATGCCCTGGGAAGCGGGAACCGGGAACCGGGAAGCGGATAGGGGCAGGGTGAGGGACTGGGACATGGACTGGGGGCCTCCGCCAGGGCCATAGAGCAAACGAACGAGGGAAACAACAACAGGAAGAAGAAATATTTAATTAAAATCAACCATTATGGCCACCGTCACCATAACAGCGGGTGGGGTTAGGTTGCTCTGGGATGGCAGGGGCTTGGGCTTCCACTGGGTGCGGGTTCGGGTTCGGATTCGGATACGAACGGATGGATTGAGTTACCCGCCAGAAGACGAGAATCCATTGGGTGAAATTGGAATTGGCGATCAATTGAAAATAAAACGTAGTACGGGGTTCGAGCTCATTAGCATGAGCGACAAGTGTTCTTCAAATGAATTTCGAATCGGAAACTCCCTAGAAGGCAATAGCACTTCCTCCGCCTTCCAATTAAAAGCTCGTTTGCCTATGTTGATTAGATTTTATTTCCCTGCGATTTCTTCGACTTGAAACCTGTCCAAATGGTTCCGGTGATATGCTTTCACCACAACCACAACTGATGGCGATCGTGATCGTGATCGTGATTCTAAGAGCCCAAGCAGATCCCATCCCATTCCATTCGATTCGATTCCACCCATAAATAGTGTCGCGATCGTGCTCTGAATTGTTATTAACCGTATGGAATAGTTTCTCTGTGCGAATTCACAAGGAGTACTATATAGATATATATTTTTTTCGTATTGCTCAACCGAATGTGGATCATGGCTGCGGCACCCAAAGCGATCACTGATCTCGGCGAGCACCCAGTCCTCCTCCTTCTCCTCCTCCTCCTTTTTGGACAGCTTGAGTGACAGCGGAATCTCATTTTTAGCCCATGTGTCTGAGTTCTGGCCAAAACTGGAGGCGGCCAAAGGGGTAGTCTTCGCAGAGAAGAGGAGATTATTATGTCAGCGGCCGTGTATCTATAAGATACATTTTGCGATCGCTTCTGTTTTCTGTTTGCTGTTTGCTGTCTTCTGTCTGTTGTTTTTGTAGCTCGTGCTGCTGCTGTTGTCGCCGTTGTCAGACAACTGACAGTGACAGCAATTTAAATCATGTTGCGTTTTCTGCCTCTCATGCTGCACTAATTGAGGCTGAGACTCAGACGGAGGCGACTGCCCAGGAGAAGGAGGAGATGGAGGAGCAGGAGCTGCCCATCGAAATGGGTCAGCTAATCTCCAAAGACCAAGAAAGGTGAAGCATCAGAAGTGGAGCATCCATTCCAATGCAATTACACCAGTTTACAAAAAAAATCAATGAAATACGCACTTAAGGAAACCTTTATTTTTCGATAAGGTACATCTTTCTGATTAAGAAAAGGGCACTTACAATTTTTTGTGTGGTACCAAGTGTAAAAAACGTTTTTGACACTTTTTTAATTTCTAGCTTGAGTTGTGATAAACCGATTTCGGCCATCAAATATTAATTATACAGGTAATATAATGCCCTCTAACTTTCTTAACGCAGCATTGAGATCCATTCATTAGTTTAGAAGCTACACTTCGTCAAAGTTGAAAAAAATGCAAAAATGCTGGCATAAATGGCTTTGTTAAAAATACACGCCTGAAACCGGAATTAGTTTTATAATTTATTTGGTAATTACCAAACTCAAGACTAGTATCTTCCGTTTCCCTTCGTATTTCCCCTTTCCCTTATTTTTCCCCAACTTTTCACTTTTCAGCAGCTGGCGGCTGTCGCTGCCAAAGAAAATAAAGCACCAGCAGCAAAGAGATTGGCGTATTTTTAACTCGCGACCTAAAATAAAATGCACATCAAACGGATTCAACTGCAGAACGCCAAGATGTGGCAGGCAGTAAGTGAAGTCATGATCTTGGCGCAGCCACAGGGACATGACTTTGGGTTCCCCATTGAGATATTGTTGAAAAAGGTTTTAAGAAATTGTAAACAGAATGAACCCAAAAATTAGAAATCATTTGTACTAAGAAAAAAGAGCTAAATGGTTGACGGATTCTAGTTAAATTACAATTAAAATGGTCTGATCCGAACGATCTTTACTTAACGATCTGTGTAAAAACAGAAGTTGTTGTCTTTAAACTGGGGAATACAGTATATTTGAGTGATAAGTGAGGAATTTTCAAATTTTGCCAAGAATTCCAGCTGCTGATTCTTCTCTTTCGAGACTTGACAAGAGGAACCTCCCACCACCGCCTCCACAATCCCATCCACGATCCACAAACCCAGCAAATGGAAGCTGATGAATGCTAAAGAGCGAGAGGCAGTGGCATTTATTAAACTGTCAGCTGAACGCTCACGAATTTTATGATTCTGAATCTGCGGTTGAACGTTTTTTCTTTATTTCTTTTTCACTTGTTTTTTGTTTTCTCTCGTTTGTTGTGTAAATTCCAAAACGCGACAAAACCATTAAGCACTTTTCGTGGGGCAGCGAGAAGGCAGGGAATTTAATGAAACAACAACGCTGATGAAGAGGAACAACAGCTAGATGGGAACGCAACCCGATCAATTTAGTGGATTAGGTATAGGAATTGGAATTTGAATTAGAATGGCCAGGTTTTCTGCTTGTTTACTCAAGTGTAACCAGAAGAATTCCTGGCCAGAACATCTGGAGCTCAAAGTGCAAATTTGTAGGTTTTTTATGAAGTATTGATCACCTAACCAGAGCACACAAGTACAGTTTATCTATAGCTCCATCTGTATCTGTTTTTGAATCTGTATCTGTATAACTTATTTTTACATTGGCAGGCACAGACACAGACTTTCCGGAATTTTGACATTCGGAAAAAGGGGAAACAAACATATATCCCTTATGTAAGCAACATTAGTTCGGGGAGTTCAATGCATTTCCTATTTATTATGATTTTTATACTATCTAGAGACAACAAGTGCGGATGCCGTCTCCGGTTTACCCTTTGCATCACGATTTCCATTTTCATCTCCATTTCCAGCTCCTCCTTCCTGTTTCTGTTTCTGTTTCTGTATTTCTGTATCTATATCTCTTGCTGTTTCTGTATCTGCAACTGAATAACTGAATACATGGGAATCGGGAGTAGCAGTAGCCCCCCAATGGCACAGCCAATCTGTCCATCCATCTCATCTCATCACTTGTCCGCCCTGTATGGTATAGTATGGTATGGTATGGTATGGTATGGTATGGTATGGTATGGGGGTTCTCTGATTATGATTGTGCCTCAGAATCTGATTTGGATTTGGATTCGGTTTTCAGCTTCTCTTTCTCCTCTTTTCCTTTCTCTGTTATTCAGTTTTTTTTCGATTTTTGTCCATATCTTTTTGTTTCTGCCTCTGCACAGAGGGCTGCCTCTGTTTCTACACACGATTTATATTTTTTATCATTTGATTTAATTTAATTCCATTCCATTTCGGTGTGTCTGCGTCCGCGTCCGCGTTCGCGTTCCCCCAATCCCCCCAAAACCCACAAATCCCGAGATCATCGCCGCCGCTTCCGAAACAGAAGTAGAGACAAGCCGACGGGCATAACCATAAGCCATAAAGCATGAAGCATATAGCATAAACCATAACATGTAGCATATAGCATATAGAGCATATATAGGATAGGAGATCGGAGATGAGAGATGCGAGATGCGAGATGCTCGATTCGAAATGAGAGATGCAAGTGGGCTTCACTTTGGACCTGCGATCTGCCGGCGGACGGGCACAAATATAACTACATATAACTATGTATAACCTGAGCCTCCGTTTCTGTTTCTCCGACTCTGACTGTGCAATAAATAAATCACTCACTTTTTCGCTTCTTCACTCGTTTGTTGTTTGCGATCTGCGATCTGCGAACTGCGTCTGTCTGCTACTCTGCCTTTTTATGCCTTTCAATTCACGACGGCAGGCTTCAAGTTCTCCATGTTTGAAACGCGAGCACTCCAATGATCCAATGATCTAATGATCCGTTACGATCCTCGCGAATATATCTGTGTGTTTAGATCGATCGATCGTGTCAATCAATTGCACCAATTAGCACTTTTCTTTTCGCACCGAACAGAAAAAAAATTCGCAAAATCGGAAATCAATCAGTAATTCAAAATCGAAATCGAACGGTTCAATTCACTGCACTTTTCTTTCGGTCGGCCGTCGCGAGTGCGAGCAGCGCCAGGAAAATATATATGGTCAGGCAAGTGGGAAATACGTTTTCCTCGGCTCAGTTTTCTTTCGGCGCTCGAACGCAGCGATGCGCAGCTATTCGCTGGCTGTGAGAGACTGAGGCCGGCCCACGATGGCGGTGCCTCTATAGGTCTCTATAGGGCGCCTCTTCTGAGCGAGCGGCTCTCCCGAGAATCCGAACTCGAATACGAACCGCCATTTCGGCGGGAGTGGGGGTGGCACACGATCAGCCGAGTGATCTTTAGAAAACAAACAAAACTAAACACATTACTTTATTTGTTTTTAACTTTGGATTTTGTTTAATTTAAATTCCATTCATTTTATATTTATACCCGTTACTCGTAGAGTAAAAGGGTATACTAGATTCGTGCAAAAGTATGTAACAGCTAGAAGGAAGCGTTTCCGACCCCATAAAGTATATATATTCTTGATCAGGGTCACTAGCCGAGTCGATCTAGCCATGTCCGTCTGTCCGTCTGTCCGTCTGTCCGTCTGTCCGTCTGTCTGTCCGTCTGTCTGTCTGTATGAACGCTGAGATCTCAGAAACTACAAAAGCTAGAAGGTTGCGATTTCCCACACATATTCTTTGGCTTCCTACGCAGCGCAAGTTTATTTTAGCCGAGCGCCACGCCCCCTCTAACGCCCACAATCGCCCACTAACGATTTTAAAATGGGTCCTGCGCCCACATCTTCAAAGATTTCCGAGAAGTATAAATGCAATTTTGTTGTGTATATTTATACCTATCGAAATGTAGAAGACATTTTTCAAATCGGACCATTCATTAAAAAGTTATACGCTTTATAAATTGTCAACATATATCTATCTCTTTCGCACTCCCTTTAGCTGAGTTACGATTATTAGTCGGGACACCAACCCGACACAGCGTTCGCACTCCCTTTAGCTGAGTGACGGGTATTAGATAGTCGGGACACCAACCCGACTATAGCGTTCTCTCTTGTTTTTTCCTTGTATCAAAAATATTCACAGATATAGAGATGAAATAAAACAAGAGAGAACGCTTTAGTCGGGTGTCCCGACTATTATATACCCGTTACTCAGCTAAAGGGAGTCCGAGGGAGATGGTGAAATAAAACTTTGATCGCTCATAACTTTTTAACGAATGGTGCGATTTTCTATTTCTACATTTCTACATTTACGTATTGATAAACACAATAAAACAGAATTTTTACTTTTCTGAAATTTTTAACGGTGTGGCCCCTAGACACCTTTTAAAATCGTTTAAATGCTTGTGGGCGTTAGAGGGGGCGTGGCGCTCTGCTAAAACAGACCAAAGCCCAAAACAGAAGGACAGGCAGACGGACATGGCTAGATTGACTCGGCTAGAGATCCTGATCAAGAATATTTATATACCTTATAGGGCCGGAAAAGCTTTCTTCTCCCTGTTACATACTTTTGCATGAATACAATATACCCCTTTACTCTACGAGTAACGGGTATAAAATGTATGGAGCTTTTTGCCAGCTGCCTAAAAGTATGCCATGCCTCGAATATGGTTAACAGACTGTTGCCCTACCTTAAACTTGTACATAGATTTATACATAAATGTACCTTGTACCTGACTAAAATATTGCTTGAGTTTTTATGGTATAAAAAACAGCTACCCATGAAAGAATAGATAAATTCAGTACTTATTTTAATCAATTATTAGTCGTCTAGTCTAATAAATAAAAAATGTTATTTAAAAAACATTATATTTGGCCGATTAAAACAATCAGCATTTTGTCCAGGACAAAGGAAAGTGAAAATTAATTTATTTTAATTGGCCGGAAAGTGATTTATTAGATTGTTGACACCGGAATCTATATTTGATTTTGAATAACTTTTTGCCAATTTACAGATACAAAACAAGAGAGAACGCTATAGTCGGGTTCGTGTCCTGACTATCTAATACCCGTCACTCGGCTAAAGGGAGTGCGAGGGAGATGGATATACAACCTTTTTTTGATTGCGCATAACTTTTTAATTAATGATGCAATTTGAAAAATGTCTTCTGCACTTTGATAGGTATAAATATACACAACAAAATTGCATTTATACTTCTCGGAAATCTTTAAAGGCATGGGCGCCAGACACATTTTAAAATCGTTAGTGGGCGATTGTGGGCGTTAGAGGGGGCGTGGCACTCGGCTAAAATAAACTTGCGCTGCGTAAGAAGCCCAAGAATACGTGTGGGAAATCTCAACCTTCTAGCATTTTCTAGCATTCTAGCATATATATATAGGGTCGGAAACTCTTCCTTCTCCCTGTTACATACACAGAGAAAAAAAGATTTTTTAAAATGTCGTTTTAAAATGTCATTTTAATACAAAAAGTTTTTAAAAAAAAATTTTCCATACAAATTTTAAAACGTGAGATTTTAAATAACTATTTAAATACAAAAATTTTGAAAAATCAAAAAAAAATTCTGCAATGCAAAAGTTAAATGGGAAACGAAAACGTTTTAAAATTATTTGGTCAAGTAAACATTAGAAAATAAATATTTCCCCATACATATTGTCAAAAGTTGCATTTTAAATTTGAGCATGCTTGAACGAGTTAACTTTATATTTAACTTGAACTAAAACACTCGCGCGTTACATGGCGCGATGGCCCAATGGATAACACGTCTGACTACGAAGCGAGAGGACCCCGGTTCAAAAACCGGCTGAGGTAGAGTAAATAAAAAGTTTTAAAGACGCATAATTAACATTTCCCTAACAATATTGTATTAGAAAGAATGTTAGATTACTAATTACGAAAATAAAACGTGTTGTGAAGCGGGATTTTAAATTGGTACTCCCGAGCACAAAATAGTACCAGAACCTAGCACTTTTGCCTCTGAGCCATGCCCACATTAATTTTTTTTCGTGGCAGAATGCTTTTCTAAGTTCGAGAAAAAATACAAGGCAAACAGAAAAATATTTACCTACATTTTAAAAATGAAAATAAACATTTTAAACGACCACTCTAAAGCAAAACATTTTAACACTAAAAACAAAACATTTTGGGTGCAAAAAAAGGGTCGAAAAATTTTAGAAAGTAAAACGCTCCATACAAATTTTAAATGCAAATTCTCTCTGTGTACTTTTGCACGAATACAATATACCCTTTTACTCTACGAGTAACGGGTATAACTATAAAAAATTCAAATAATAACACAGGAACACAAAATTTAACTTTGTGAAATTTCCACAAACCATTTCAAGTTTTCCATGATACTTGGGTGCTCCTGAGTAAAAGTCCCATACAAAATTATTTTCCATCACCTACAGGTTCCGCGGTACAGCTAAGAATACAAAAAACCGATGTTTGCCGACATTTTGAATTACGTGGCCTATATAATGGGACTAACCTTTATTATTTTCGGTAGGACCTACTCTCAATACATCACGGCACTACAAAAAAATAGTCCCCATCGTGAACCATTGTCAATGTCTTAGGAATTCGACGCCAAAGTTGAAACTCCCAAAATTTTGAGAATTTCTGTGATGAATAAACAATCCTGATAATTAAATCTTAAATGGAACTTATTTTAAATATGTATTGAATCTATTGTTTATTGTATTCTTTAATTTCGGTTTAAAGCGATTTCATGATTTATTGGATTTATTATACTAACAAAACCGTTTTTTATACCCTTGCAGAGGGTATTATGATTTCAGTCAGAAGTTTGCAACGCAGTGAAGGAGACGTTTCCGACCCCATAAATATATATGTATATATATATATGTATATACACAGAGAAAATAAACTAAGAACATTGCACTCAAATCAAGAACATTCGTTCTTAAAAACCGGGTAAGCACAAATGTTCTCATTTCGAGTTGAATGTTCTCAACATCAGAACGAAATGGTGTTAGCTAATAATCCGACATTGAGTTCATTTCGTTCTTTTTTCAAGTTGATTTTGTCCTTAATTCAAGAACATTTTTAAATCAAATGGATACAAAAATAAGTTCATTTGTTATATTTTCAGAACATTTGGCTCTCAATTCTATAGCATTTTGAATTTAATTTTAGCTAAAGATAAGAGTCATTTAGGATCAAAAGTAATTTATATGTAATATTAAGGTAGTTGTCCAATTACCTTTTCCAAAAGTAACTTCATCCTACACCTTATAAAGGTGCGGAAGTTTATTAAAGACCTAAGCCAGAAAAAAGTCTTTAAGTCTCAATATCTGACTTGGCCTTGGTTCATGAAGGGCTAGACCCAGTTGGGAATTATAAATAAGACGAAAAGGGCAAATCTAATGGTAAGGTCGTATTGGAGCTAAGGAAAATGGCCTAATGCGTGCTAGGTGTCAAACGAAAACATCCTAACGCTTTCTAGGAAATCCATAAAAATTAGGGAATAGAGTTTTGAATCACTTTAAGTTGAAATGCAACTTAATTTTTGTTCATTCTTTAGTCCTTTTTGTTCTCAAACTGAGAACATTTTGAGGGATTGTGGTTTTTGAGAACAAAATCGATTTGATTTAAGAACCCTGTGCTAAAATAATAACATTTCGTTCTTATTTCAAGAACATTCTAAGCTCAACTAGATTTTAAGAACCAATTTAACTTAATTCAAGCACATTTAGAACATTTTGAACTTAAACAAGAAAGGAAGCTAGCTTCGGCCAGCCGAAGCTTATATACCCTTGCAGATCATTCCTATTAATTAACAAATCGCAAAAATGTTCAATTTTCTAATATTTCTCATTAATTTTCCGATCGTTCCTATAGCAGCTATTTGATATAGTCGTCCGATTTTGATAAAATGAAAATTGAAATTCGGAAATATTTAAAAAGAGTCATATCCTAGAGTAGAAGATAATACAATAAAAACCAAAAAAGCTAAAATTTATTTCTGTGTAACTTTCCCATTAATTTTCCGATCGTTCCTATGGCAGCTATATGATATAGTCGTCCGATTTTTAAAATATTTTATTCGAAATTCTGAAATATTTAAAAAATAATATTTCCAAGAGTAGAAGGTTTTATTTCAAAGAACACCGAAGATAGAATTTTTTTAACGTTTCGTTCCTATGGGAGCTATAAGATATAGTTATCCGATCCGGTTGGTTCCGACTTATATACTACCTGCAATAGAAAGAAGACTTTTGGGAAAGTTTCATCGCGATAGCTTCAAAACTGAGAGACTAGTTTGCGTAGAAACGGACGGACAGACGGACAGACGGACAGACGGACGGACAGACGGACATGGCTAGATCGACTCGTCTAGTGATGCTGATCAAGAATATATATACTTTATGGGGTCGGAAACGTCTCCTTCACTGCGTTGCAAACTTCTGACTGAAATCATAATACCCTCTGCAAGGGTATAAAAAGGCATTTATATTTTTAAGAACATTTTCAACTCAGATGAGAACGTCAGAATTCTCTCTGTGTATATATATATATGTATATATATTCTTGATCAGCATCCAGCCATGTCCGTCTGTCCGTCCGTCTGTCCGTCTGTCTGTTTCTACGCAAACTAGTCTCTCAGTTTTTGAGCTATCGGGACGAAACTTTCGCAAAAGTCTTCTTTCTATTGCAGGTAGTATATATGTCGGAGCCGACCGGATCGGACAACTATATCTTATAGCTCCCATAGAAAGGATCGGAAAAAAAAAAAATTTAAAAAATTCTAGCTTCGGTGTTTTTTGAAATATTACCTTCTACTTTTGGGGATGTTATTTTTTAAATATTTCCGAATTTCAATTTTAATTTAATCAAAATCGGACGACTATATCATATAGCTGCCATAGGAACGATCGGAAAATTAATGGAAAAGTAATAGGAAATAAATTCTAGCTTCTTTGGTTTTTATTGTATTATCTTCTACTCTAGGATATGACTCTTTTTAAATATTTCCGAATTTCAATTTTAATTTGATCAAAATCGGACGACTATATCATATAGCTGCCATAGGAACGATCGGAAAATTAATGAGAAATATTAGAAAATTGAACATTTTTGCGATTTGTTAATTAATAGGAATGATCTGCAAGGGTATATAAGCTTCGGCTGGCCGAAGCTAGCTTCATTTCTTGTTTTATTTCATTATCTACCCCTAAATGTTGTCAAATTTTAAATAAGTCAAGGCATCCTACAGAATGGGATTAAACATATACATTTCTCTATGTATGTTCAGTGAACGTATATATTTTCTTAGTTCTAGAGGTTGCCATGACTTATTCAAAATTTGACAACATTTAGGAGTAGATAATGAAATCAAAAAATCGGTTTTATTAGTATAAGAAATCCAATAAAACGTCCTCATGAAAACGCTTTAAACCGAAATTAAAGCACACAATGAACAATAGATACAATGAATAGTTAAAATTAGTTCCATTCAAGATTTAATCCTCAGAATTTTTTTTCATCAGAAAAATCACTACAATTTTGGGATTTTCAACTTTGGCGTCGAATTCCAAGGGCATGGGCAATGGTTCACATTGGGGACTATTTTTTAGGAATGCCGTGATGTAGTGAGAGTAGATTGCAGCGAAAATATTCAAGGTAAGTCAAATTTTATCGGCCACATAATTCTAACTGTCGGCAAACATCGGATTTTTGTATTCTTAGCTATACCGCGGAACCTGTAGGTGATGGGACATAAGTTAGTATGGGACTTTTACTTAGGAGCACCCAAATATTATGGAAAACTAGAAATGGTTTGTGGACATTTTTGGCTGTGTACCTGTGTTATTAAAGTATCTTAAGCTTACGATTTAGGTATGTATATGATCTAAACATTATGTTTAAATTAGAAAACAAAAAAAAACATTTTTATTATTATGCCTATCATTTCATATTTGGTAAATAGTAAATCATACTCTATTATTATTATTTTTTTTTATTGGGTAACATTACGGTTTTGTATTGAAAATCATATGTTAGTCCTCGCAATTCCCATTGGGTACCCTAAGCGTACCCAGCGTACTTCAGGCGCAGCTCATCGTAGCTTTTGCGATCCTGTTCGCAAACTGAGGGGCGCAACTTTTGTAGAGCATCTTTGAAATGATGACTGTGTAAGCATGGATCGTCTAGTTTGAATTTGTCATCGCTTGAAGATTGGCGCAGGGAGAACATGGAGGCCTGTTTAATTAGTCCTGCCAGGTCCTCGCCAGTGTAGCCCTCTGTTTGGGCAGCCAGCTTCTCGAGGCTTACATCCTCTGCCAGCAGAGGACGCTTTCCGTTCTTTGTGATGGCTTTTAGGATCTCGGCACGTTCGCTCTGATCGGGGAAATCAACGTACAGAATGGTGTCGAGGCGACCGGGACGCAGAATGGCCGGATCAATGATATCCGGCCTGTTGGTCGCCGCCAGGATGTAAACACCCTTGCGCTCCTCGACGCCATCCATTTCGGTCAGCAATTGGTTAACCATACGAGTGCCAGAATTATTTCCCTCGCCCCCATCCGAGCGTTTGGGGCACAAGGAGTCGAATTCGTCAAAGAAGAGGACGCAGGGTGTCGAGTAACGGGCACGTTGGAAGCAGGCACGCACAGCGTGTTCGCCTTCGCCAAGATACATATTCATTAGCTCGGGGCCCTTGACGGAAATAAAATTGACGCCAGCCTCGTTGGCAATAGCCTTGGCCAGAAGGGTTTTGCCGCAACCTGGCGGACCGCAGAGCAGAACTCCCGAAGGAGCATTCAATCCCAGGCGTTCCAGCCTCTCTGGATACTTAATTGGCGCCACGAGAGCCAGCTTAAGTTGTTCGCGAATTTTCTCGAGTGCCCCAATATCATCCCAGGTGGTGTCCGGCACAGTGATGAAGCCCTCGCCTTTGGCCGAAGGTTGCATTACCTTGATGGCGTTCACGAAATCGTCGAGAGTGATGCAGAAATTTGGATCGGCAAACTTCTTGGGAGGATGGTCCACAAAGTTGATCAGCTCGGCCAGCATGGGCTCGTAGTATTCGTCGTCGGATGAGTCCGCTTCCTGCTCAACGGCCTCCGGCTTTTCGTCCACTGGTTCTCCCGGTGATTCGCCATTGGTGGGGGATTTCTTGGGGGATTCAGTGTTGGGTGTGTCGCCCCCTGCGTTGTCATTATCATCGGTGTTTTCCTTGTCACCATCCGCCTCGTCGATCTCGTCATCGCCTGACCCCTCGACGGACTCATCGTCATCCAAAATAACCGTGATCATGTTCTTCTCTCTGGCATCGCGCAGTTCACGGAACTTCTTCATGGACCTACGCCTTACGGCCACGGAAAATGCGCGCGCGACCAAGGCCTTCAGATCAGCGCCCGAATAACCAGGTGTTAGTTCGGCAACCTTATTGTAGTTAAGCTTCGGATCAATGGGCAGTCGCATGCATTTGATGCGCAGGATATTACGGCGCTCCTTGCGCGACGGTTTGTGTATGGCGATCTCGTGAGCGAAGCGTTCAATGCTACGTAGGCGACGATCGAGGACATCGGGACGCGTGGTGGCCCCAATGACCAGCACGGAGTGACCAAACTGGTTGGCTCTTAGGTTATCCCAGCTGCTGATCAGCTTTGAGGCCCACTGGCGGTTGCCACCGATGGCGTCGATGTCGTCGATGAAGAGCACGCAAGGCGAGTAGTTAATGGTCTGTTCGAAGACCTCGCGTATGCGCTCTTCGGTCTCGTTGGAGATGTCACCAATCAGCTCCTTGGCCGGCACTTCCAGCAGCCTCATTTTAAGTTGCCCACTTATGGCACGGGCTAGAAAGGTTTTGCCACATCCTGGCGGGCCATGCAGCAAAATACCCTTCGAGGGCAACAGTCCCAAGTGAAAGTATGACTTCGGCGACTTGATATGGATCAGAATCTGGCAGAGCTCCTTCAGGGCGGTTTCCATGCCGCCAATGTCCCAGAAACTTTGCCTGGGGTGGTACATCTTCAGCGTCTTCTTGTACTTCCGCGGGCGGTCATGGTTTTGGTTTTGGTTTTGGTTTGGATGCAGCTGCTGATCCAAACTGGATGCATTACCATGATCCTCGGCGTCCTCGGAGTGATGATTTTCACCCCCATGACCGACACCTGGTGGAAATTCGTGTGCGGAATCTGGTCCCGAGCCTGGAATAGTATTCAATTTAGCTGTTTTCTTGGGAACCGCCGTTGTCTCCGGCAGATCTTCCATCAGGCGTTTTAGAGCATTGGCCTGAACTTCCGGTGGAGCTGGTTGCCCATCTCCGTTGGTGGTGCTGGTATTGGAGTCATCGTCGTTGTCCTCCCCAATGGATATATCGATGGGTTCGCTGATGGGCTTGGCAGCCAGCGGCTTACTTGGTGGCGCCTCGACCATGTCCAAGTTGTAGCTATCGGAGACTATGGAGAATGCTTGAAGTACCAACTGCCTGAAGGGTTCAAATTCGCGTCGCGAGTACTCCGGGTACTTTTGCATCAACTCCCTGGTCGCCTGATCCACATACAGGTGGGTTTCACCGCTGTGCTCCTCGATGTACTGCTTCACTCGCATCGTTATCAGATGGTCGTGGTTCTCCATATTACCCGATGAATATTTCTGACCAAATATTCGCTAAATGCAATCTGGCATTAATGTTAAATAGTATAAAAATTAACACCTGCACATACGTACTTTTTTCACTGTCCAATCTGACTTAACCCGAGCAATCTTAACCCGAGCAGAGCTAAAAAAAAGTGACGGTGACAGTTGCCTGCCCTTGATAAATGAGATGGCGGCGCCTACGTTTAGAGTTCCGAACTGAATATTATAGACGTCCACGGGTTGTCGCCTTCTGTAGATATAAATAAATATTTTTAAAGCAAGGGTCACTTGTGCTCAAAAATAGTTATGAGTTACGTAAAATAGTGACAGGTTTGGGCACTGTTTGTGAATCGTCACTGTGAAGGAAGTAAAAAAACAATTTTAAAAATTCCAAAACAATTCACAAAAGCCTGATGGGTGTCCTAAAAATTAAGGACATAAGGTGTCTTTGGATCAAAAATGCATTGCAAAAGAAAATATTTTTATTTAATTTTTAAACGCTGTTCACAAATGAAGATTTTTAAACTTTGCTGTGACTTTAAAATTTTGAATGCGCCCACCTCCTCGTGTGGTTGAGTTAGATTGAATTTTCCGGTAATAGTCTAGCAGAGGGGCCTGTGCCCCAAAAATCGCGAAAAAATTACCCTCCATGGGCCGCGATTTCTTAGGAATTTACGTGCAGAAGATTATCGGCGGAAATGCATGGTTCTCTTGTAATTGCATTTCAAAGTTGCGTGTTTTGCTATAAAAACAAAGTAGCATTTTCTAGGATTTTGAGGTGTTTTGTGACATTTTGCTATAAAAACATATGGGCTCTCCGTTTGCTGTCAAAATAAGAGGCGTTCGAAAAAACTCGACAAAAATGTGAAATTGTTTTTATAGCAACCCAGACCCCACAACCGTGAATTAAATATCCTCGATGGACCGTGATTCCTGAAGAGCTTGAGCGACCATGGATAACCAACATATACAATTTTAAAATGAATCTTAAGAATTAACTATCCTCGGTAGACAGTGATTCCTTAAGAACTCGAATGACTGTAGATGACCAACATATGCTTGTCTTATAAAATTATTATAAAAGTAAAGTACAAGAAATCGCGGTTCAAGGAATGCAATTAATGCGCCGCAGACAAAAAATATTTTTAAAAAAATCTCTCGATTTTTTCCGGCGCATAACACTTTTTTTTTACATTTTTTTAAGTACTTGTATTGCGATTAGAATTGCAAAAAATTAGACGCATGCAAAAAATATTTTTTGACTGCGTCGCTTAGCTCTTCTTCTTTACATTTTCTTTAGTACTTGTATTCCGGTTAGGATGATAAAATGCGTGCATTATTGGTGTATCCTTTTCTACGATTTTGTTTAAAAAAATAAAAATTAAAGGTTTTATAACGGCTAAGACCGTGAAAAAAGTTACAATAGATAATCCTCCTTAGACCGCGATTTCTTCAGATTCACCTAAAGGTTATGTACATATGTCTTGGTCATCCATTTTCACTCCAGTTCTTAAGGTATCACTGCCCACCGAGGATATTTAAGTCGGATATTTAGTAGTAGTGTTGCCGCCCTGTGTATTTAAGGGGTTATATACCTTTTTTTTTTTTAAAAAACCAAATTTTTTTTTTTGCTGAATCCTAAAGTACATCCCCTAGAGAACATCTTCCCAAATTTTCATACATATCCGAATAATAGTTCGATAGGAAAACAGCGTTTTGACGCGCTCGACTTCAATAGTTGCAACGTCAACGTAAAACTTTGAATGCGATTATCTCAAAGTCGTGTTTTTCCAAAAGTGCTTTCGCTGTGACCACGATTGCGCAAGAACTATTTGATCGATCTTCTTCAATTTTTTTTTAAATTATTCGTAATGATTGTGCCGAGTTCGTGAACGATTCAGTTTTTATGCGCCAATTTTAATTTCGCAGATCAGAATTTTTTAATAAGATTTTTAGAACTCGAAAAATCAACTTTTTTGGAAAAATTGTTACTGTATGCAGAAAAAAGCAAATATTCTTAAAAATAATCGTTCACGAACTGGATATAATACTATACTAACTAAAAATTTTTGGTTTTTTGATATAAGTTGACCTGCTGGACTTCCATCGTGGTCACCGCAAACCGCTATAAAAAAAAAGGGTTCCGAAAGAATTGCCATAACTTCGTTAATTATTCATATTTTTTCAAGAACAAAAGTTTGTTGTTTCGATAAAAACATGTACTATCAATAAATAATAACTTCACTGTCATGAAATAATTGCTACACACCAAAAAAAAAATCCAAAGTTCCCTCAATTTTTTCGCTCAAAAAAGGTATATAACCCCTTAAAAGTTTTTTGTTGGAATTGATCTTTTCTTGGTAATATTGTATTGATTATAATTTTACTATTAGACTAATTGGATAAAAAAAGATACAACATCAAATTTTTAAAAACACAGAGCGGCAACACTACTACTATTATGACCGCAGCTGTATGTTTTTAAGTTTTTTGACTATGTTTTCTGGAATTCATTTCTGCCTTAAAAAATCCTAAAATTATTCTAAGTATGGGGTTCGAAAGATAAAGAGTGTATCTTTTAAAAAACTTTAACATCGAATCAAACCATGCATCCATTTGCCTCTGAGAGCTCTGGAAAGTAGGCCAATTTCAGCATTTTTCGAACTTTGAGGTCCTTTTGCTAAGAATCTTTGCGTCGGGGAACTTTTTGGAAAACGCAGTTTAACTTGGGAATTCGTAACGAATACAAAAAATAGCATCCATCGAGGTAAATTTTTGACGCTGCATAGTGTAATTGGTGTTGGCAGTCGGGTCACTAAATAAGGTGCACGAAATACGTAAGTAGGACAGCTTTGTTTGTGGGATAACATAATAACATTTTGTTGCAGCACCAATGACTATTTTTATACCCGTTACTCGTAGAGTAAAAGGGTATATTAGATTCGTGCAAAAGTATGTAACAGGTAGAAGGAAGCGTTTCCGACCCTATAAACTGTACATATTCTTGATCAGGATCACTAGCCGAGTCGATCTAGCCATGTCCGTCTGTCCGTCTGTCTGCCTGTATGAACGCTGAGATATCGAAAACTACAAAAGCTAGAAGGTTGAGATTTCCCACACATATTCTTGGGCTTCCTACGCAGCGCAAGTTTATTTCAGCAGAGTGCCACGCCCCCTCCAACGCCCACAATCGCCCACTAACGATTTTAAAATGTGTCTGGCGCCCACACCTTTAAAGATTTCCGAGAAGTATAAATGAAATTTTGTTGTGAATATTTATACATATCGAAATGTAGAAGACTTTTTTCAAATCGGACCATTCATTAAAAAGCCGAAGCTTACATACCCCTGCAGATAAAGTAATACTCACTCGGTGCAGTTCCAGGGATTCCAGATTCATCGTTTCTATTTTTGAATTTTGTTTTTAAGTAGTCAAGAATTAAAACGCCTACTTCCTACAAGTAACAATGAATTTTCTTATATATGTTTGAATATTCCTATGGGAGCCTTAAGATATAGTGGTCCGATCCGACTCGCTCCGACATATGTACTACCTGCAATAGAAAGAAGACTTTCGGGAAAGTTTCATCGCGATAGCTTTAAAACTGAGAGACTAGTTCGCATAGAAACGGACAGACGGACAGACGGACATGGCTAGATAGACTCGGCTATTGGTGCTGATCAAGAATATATATACTTTATTTGGTCGGAAACGTCTCCTTCACTGCGTTGCAAACATCTGACTGAAATTATAATACCCTCTACAAGGGTATAATTAAGTTGTTAGTTTACTAATTACAAAAAAAAAAAAAAAGTTGTGTTGTGAGCGGGAATTGAACCTCGTACCCCCAAACACAAAATAATACCAGAATCCAGCTCCTTGGCCCCTGGGCCATGGCCTTATTATTTCCTTCCATGGCAGAATGCATACAGGTGCATTCAAAGAAATTTATTTTTGTACTAAAAATAAATTTAAATTTAAGTACGTTTTGTTCTAAGAGTAGGAACAGCGGACTTAAAAATCCGTTCTTAAAATAATAATAAATAAATTCTTATAATGATACCAAACGGTATAAAGCTATTTTTAAGACTCAAACAGACACGTTTTCAGACACAATCAGAACAATTTTTTCCCTGAGTGTTCTTTAAGCTCTTTCAGAGTTCCAAATTGTCTTCCATTGGCATAAACTCGTTGGGAAAGTATGCCCCAAAGGTTTTCTATAGGATTAAGGTCCGGACTCTTTGCTGGCCATTCCAAAAGTGGTATACCCGACGCGGCGGAAAAGGACTTTGTGAGCTTCGCACAGTGTATAGGGGCTTTGTCTTGTTGATAAGTCCACATATCTCCAAAATAGTCCTCTCCAAATGTTACCAAAACTGTTTCCAATAACTCTACATAGGTTGCTGCATTCATTTAGTGTGTTACAAAACATATTGGAGACTTCCCATAATATTCGAACGCTGCCCAAATCATAAGAGAGCCTCCATGGAAGTTTCGGGCTAAGTGAACCTTTTTTGGACTCCGCTTATCGCGATAATAATATCGGTAACCATCAGGGCCATCTAAATTGAACTTTTTTTCATCACTAAAAATAATATTTTTCCACTCCGAGTCCCAAAATTTGTATTTATTGACAAAGTTCAACCGTGCAGATTTGTGCCTTGGCAGTAGCTCAGGTTTAAGCAGTTTTTTTTATATGAAACGTTTTCAGAATCTTTTAAAATTTGTTGTACTCGTCGGGTGGATATCGGAAGAGTCAACTGACTTCTGATTTGGGATGAACTGATATTTTCATTGACAGCTAGAAATGTATTTCTTCTTTTGTCTCGGTCATTAACTAAAGGGGGGCGACCAGTCCGGAGTTTTTTTCCATGGTTTTCAGGATCCTTAAGTAGTTTTTTCACCGTACACTTATTTCTTCCAACCTTTTTTAGCAATTTTACGTATTGACATTCCGGTTTCTCGCAGTGCCAATATCTTTCCACGTTCTATATCT